CATTTCTGGTTTACCCAATAATTATGTAATATAATTGTTTTCATAAACTGATGGAGTTCAACCTGTATCTAGGCTGATCTCCTCCTCTTTTTTTATTCAAAGTGTGTCAGGATATTTAAAACCTGACATAGATTATTCTATAGATAACTGAAGCAAAAGAAAATAAATGAAAGAATCTTTAGTTGCACGCTTACATGTCTAGCGATGCACCAAACTCCAAAGTCCCACCAGGTAAGTTTATCAAGAATTGCATGCTTCCCAGGAGTTTCATGAAGACAGCCAGCCCAGCCTCTGAGGACTATCCAGCCCACACAGGGCCTGAGTCACTCCGCAGAAGTGCCTGTCTCTCATGATGGATTACAGATGGATCCCAGTGAAATCAGGCTTCCAAATTGGTGCCTTGTTTCAGATGTGGATTCAGAACTTTTTGTGAGAGATTTTTTGCCCTTGGACCTATAGCTATGCAAACATGTAGTAGAAAAACATATTTTAGAATGCTCTTAGAGTCTAAGGACAAAAGCATGTAATCAGAGCCAAATGACTCTGGTTTAAATTACCATCTTTCAGCTGAGATGTTTTAATTTCTAGCTTATTGCAACTTTGCAAGTGGCTAAAATACAAGTGTTTTTTCCCTGGAAAATTGACTCATCCTTCTGAGGTTTACAAAACCTAATGGTAATTTTCCAGCATAAACTGGACCCATGTCCATTTTACATACATTGTGCGTAGCATTTCAAATGTAAGTTTGCTACCATTTTCTGTCCCTACTGATATATCTTTAACGTGTACATCTCAGACTCTTTTCAGTCTAAGACTTAATCACACCATCTTTCCACAGTTGACATGGGTATACACTCAGGCTCTACATTTTCTTTCCAACTGGGGAGGCCTCAGCCTATGGCATCGTTTCCTTGTGCCTGGTGTGTGACCCTGTGCTTTGCATTTCTAGTTTCAATCCACTTTTAATACTTCAGTCCTTCAGACTGTCAGTCCAGTTAATTCTGTATGATTTTCTATCTTCAGCTTTCTCGTGAGGGCTTACAGGTTTGTATCATTGGCAAATGTTGTTAGCATGCTCTGATTTTTTGTGTCGATATCAGTAAAACACATTTGGTTCCAAAACCATCCTTTGAAACATCACCAGTAATTTTTTTCTATCCTATTTTTGTCCTAATGTTGTTTCCTTCCCTTAAATCAAGTTGTGATTCTTTTACATTTCTAGAGTACCTTATCCGTAATAATTTTTTTATCCCAAGTGACATTGTGTCCAATATGTATGATCATATCAGCTAGGTTTCCTGCTGTGTTCCTTTTCTTAAAATATCAGTTATTTTATAAAGAGAGATTTGGCATAATGGTAGTCTATTTTGGGATAAAACATAAAATTCATTATATTCCGTTTTTCATTACTTCAGTGTCTCTAGCTATGCAATGCTTCATAATTTGTTGCAAATCCTTGCACAGCTCATGAGGTCAGAGCTACTTGTTTTTATGTCGCCAAGATCACATACATCCCTTTTTCTTAAAAGAAAAAAAAAGTTTTTATTTTTCAGACACTTGATTGTCAGCCTGATATATTCATTAAAAGTCTTTGTTATTAAACTGGCCTTTCATGTGCAAGTATTGTAAGTACTCTTGAATGGAGATTATGGGGTCTTGCCCTCCTAGTCTAGACATTTCCTTAAAAACAGTTTTATGTCTTTGTTTTGTTCTCATCTTAGATGAGAATTTTCATTTCCACAGTCTGTATCATTAGCCACACTGCATTTGCTACTGTAGTCAACATCCCCATATTAATTTTGTTTTGGACTGTCTGTAAATTATCTTTAATCTTAACTGCTTTTTGCTCCTTAGTGAAGCCACTCTTTTTCCTGGTTTTTTTTTTTTATTTGGATGATGAAAGTACATTTTAGTACTTGCAATTTTGCAAGATCTGACCCTGCCTAACATTTTCTGTTCTCACTATCTCCATATATTTTCTGACATCTGACAGTTTTCCTTGCATATTAGTTTCATTTTCCACCCTACAAGCTTTCTGCATACTCCAGATATACTCTCTGAGGTGACTGCTCATCTCGTTAGAAAAGGAGCCCTTTGTTATAAAAGGTTTTTCCATATGTTTGAAGCTGCAAATTTTTCACAGCCCACAGCCACAGTCTTTTTCTTAAAGGAATTCTAGCACTTTCTTGAGTCTTCATGATTTCCCTTATTTTCGGATTTTTAAAGTGAAATTCTGATTTATTTCTGTTACATCTGTTAAATTCTGATTTATTTCTGAACACTTATTCATGTTACAGGCATTTAAAACATGAATGAAGGTGTTATCACTTACTCTGAGATACGGCTTTCTTGAGCAATTATTTAATAACGTCTTGTAGCTCATGTTTCTTGTGCTATGTGTCACATCCTTGTCTACTCCTTATTGGTAGAAATTATTTTCTGGGAAGTTAACAATATCACCTCACAGCTTTCCTAGTGCTATTTACTCCTTATTTATTTTTTTATAATATTATTTGCTTTCTAAATAATATCAAAATTTATATACAACAAAAGGCATCCTACACAAAACTTTCTGAAAGGAATCTGAAACCAATTAGAAGCAATCTTATGGTCTTCCAAAATAGTGATGTGATGAACTATAAACCAAGTATGTCTACCCTTTCTAATTTTCTTACAGCAATTGTTCAGAAAGGTTGGGAAGATACAGTGAGTTATACAAGCTATTGCAGGCATTTTTATGGCCTTCTGCACTTCAGTATAGTCCTCTCACCCAAATTTTTGGGCAGAATATTACCATTGCTTTACAATTAAAAAAATATCCAATTGGTAAAATTATGATATTTTAAGGGGGTGGTCAAGGTGAAAATCATTAGTGCAATCTTACAACTTCATACTGGTTAAATTCCTTATAGTTGCTTTCGGTTGCATGCAAGAGATCTTCCATTGTTTCTCTCAGTTTAAATTAATTAATTAATTTCAGGGGGTTTGTATTTTCTTGTTAAATAAAGCCAAGAAACCGCTCTGTATGGCTACTCTCATGAAAGTCTTTTGTTCATTTTCTTTAAGCAGGGTGTATGAATTTCAGGTGAAATTACTTTTTTCCTTCACGCTCTATATATTATATTAGTGCATCTCTAACTGAGAGAGATCAGTGCTGCTGGACCATCAGTACTACCCAGCAGTGGCTTCTGCCTTACTCAGTCATTTAGACATGGGAACAGGAAAATAAGTCCTCCTTTTATTAGAGCGTCTTTTCTTCACTGGCAGATGTCAAACTGTTAAATCACAAGAGAGCCTAACATGGAAAAATGCAAAGTCATTGTGATAAGTAATCCTTGAAAGGAAGAAAAATACAGGGAGATGGTTATGTTTTGTCTTTAATTTTTTTAAGCTACCCTAGGACTTATCACCATATCCTGAATGGCTTACTCTGTCGCCTGTCAGTGAAGCAGAGTAGTCACAAGAGTATGTTATTATTTCATATTTTATATCCTACTTTTTTTTTTCCTTGTCCTTTACCAACAGAGAGTTATTCAGCAATTTCTAAGGTGGCAGCTCCTGTTGTAAAACAAGAACTAACATGATTCTCTCATATTTTTTTGAACTATGTTTTTTTCAGCTATTGAAGTGTATCTTGTCTTAGGACCATCTTGGAAGGCAAACAAAATTTTGCTGGGCAACAAAAGATACTCCTCTTTCTCTTTAAAATTTTATATTTACAATAGTTCTTTAAATTCCTTCTCATTGGTAGCAGACTGGGCTTTTATTTTCAGGCAATTGACTCTAACTGCAGGCAGGCAACAGATGCATTTAAACAGACTGCAATAAGGTTCTATTTTTGAGAAGTAGTGATTGGAAGGGAACTTTCTGTCAATCAGATACGCATTAAAATGGTATTTATTTTAACATTTAATATTCTAGTTTAAAAGATATGCAATTGTTTTCACATTTTCTACCTAAAGTTGTAAAGGAATGCTAAAGAGTTAAGTGATAGAAATTTGCACCTGGAATTCAGTGTGCAAAATTGATTCTTAATGTGCAACACAAACAGTGTAAATTGTCAATTCATCTGCATATTTGGGTATTTTTAAAGAAAACTAAAGAATTTTCAAAATCTTAAACTTCCCTTACTTTTATAATTATTCATGCTATTAGATAGATTACAAATCTTAAGCAATGTATTATTAACTGATTGAAGGCTAGCATGCCGTGTCCTAATAGACTGAGCAGCTGCACTGGTTCTTTAAGGTACTTCACACCTAGCAAATAATCATGATTAAACATAGTCCTATGAGTAGCAAAAGATACTACATTGCCAATATTGTGACAATATTGAAAGATAAAATTCAGGTTTGCAGCAGTAACCCAGGAGAGTCTAAGTAGGTGTGAGAGGGCTGGAGGAAGCAGTAGCCAGATGAGGCTTCAGGAAGAAGGATTTGCACCTTTCAGTAGATGTAGGAGCTGCAGCTGCTGCTGTATGAGGGATTTACTGCTTGCTGCTGTAGCTGGCCCTCTCCACGCTCCTTTTCATGGTTTGTACCATAATAGTTAATCCTGTGTTCTCAGGCTGCACTTTCTAGCTGTTCTAGCTGGCCAAGGAGGTGAGTGGAATCCCTGCACTTGGAGTTTTGTTGTGTTAATGACAGTTAACAGTAGAAAAATATGGGAATGAGAAAGAGAGAAAAGTAGCAAGAAAACCCAATTGTTCATACAGGATCTTTTAGTGCTGTATTCCTTCTTAAAAAAAGAATTCATGTGTAGGCCTATCAAAATTACATACATTATATTTCAAAGTCATAAAAAATTCAGGTGTCTCCTCATATTTAAGATCTTATTTATTAATTTCTATTTTTAATTGCATATGAAGTACATTAAGTGAATCTGTTAATCATATTAATTTAAAACTATCATGGATGGAATTTTGAAAAGCTGGATTAGAAAATATCACTTTCTGAATGAAAAAAAAAAGGACTTGACATGCTCTTTTCTTCCATTGCTAGGCCATGGGAAGTGTGACTGTGGGAAGTGCAAATGTGATGAAGGCTGGTATGGTGAAGCTTGTCAGTATCCAACTACTTGCAATCTTACACGGAAGAAAAGCAATGAAATGTGCAAGAATTCTCAAGATGTCATCTGTTCTGGTGCAGGTAAGATGTCTTTTGTTGCTTTTGATGGCTTGGTGTTCTCCCTGACTTATCTTGAGAATCACTGTGATTTCTTTTCTAATTAGGAATTTTATAGAGTATGTTTCAAGATACTGAGAAATAACTGTATGTATACTAAAATGTTAATTTTCCTATAGGCCTATTCCTGTGCATGTGATGTTCACTGATTCAGAATGCCTACTTTAGTACTCTAGTTTATCCATAGCTACTTTAAGTTGATGAAACTGCAGCTGTGTCATGTATTTTGTCCATCGAAAGCTTATGGTAGCGGCATTAACACAGAAAATCACATAATTCTTTTCGTGTTTGTGCTTATAACATGCAGAAATGGCATTTACAAGTATTTTTCCAGGACATTTATAAGCTATACAATTTTTTTGAGACACTTTTGAGCTATAACAATGATTATTAAAACCAGCTGTGGAAGATCTGCTGAGTCATTTTAATGGGGTAGTTCCATCTTCACTTTTCTGATTTGGTAACTCTCTGTTCTCTAATTCTTTAGTTTTGTAACTCATCCTAACTTAAATAGGAAGCCCTTTCCTTAAAAAAAAAAAAAAAATCAAAGGAAAAAGAAACAGCCTTTTAGAAGATTTCACTACAGAATGGTGAAATTTTGAAGGACATTTGCTACCAGTCAAGGTTTGAGACCAAAAAATGCCTTCCAATTTTTCCATTACATTGATCTCCGAGTGAGAGACTGTTTCAAGAACCACACTTCTTCTCACTGTTGCTGGCTTTTAATTTCTGCCTGGGTCCATACATTTTCATACAACTAAATTTCTCACAGGGTCATTGTTGACATGAGCAAAGAACCCAAAGGGTTTGTGGGCCTTGCTGCAGAGAAGCTAGGCTCTCATAACAAGATGTGAAATCAATTTAATGTAAAATTTTAAGCATACAGCTTACTGTAAATGATACATTTCATTTATCACAATAGTATAGATTATACGAAACTCATGGTGGTTTGGCTAACAAATGAGAGATTCCTACATGAAAAACTGACTCAAAAATCAGCATGGTTCATTGTGATAGTCGAAGTACTTAAAACAAGAAAGTTATGACCTTTTTTATTCTTTCTTTCCTTGGCTAGAAGTGGTCCCAGTCTGTCTGCCACTGAGTTTTCACAGGAAAACCAACTCAGCTGAACAACCACTAAAAGTGGCTAAGAGGGGAGTGTTTCTGAGGTCAGGAGAAGAATAAACGCTTTCAGTTTTGCTGGTGTTAAACAGCACAGGAATTCCAATGAGACTGGCTAGGAGTTTGCGGTAACTTTGATGGGGTGTAGCCATACATACTTTGCCTTGATGGGATTGCCTTTCGATCTACTGTCATTGTTGTTGGGGTCTGAGCTCTGTTTTTGAATTGCCAACAAAAGATGGGAAGGATAACATGAGTAGTTGCAAAAACAGTCCTCTGCTGTCACATAGCTAACCATTTATTGTAATTCTTTTCATGAACCAATCAAGATCCAGCTAAAATTTAACTTTTCTGACTCAACTGTTCCTAATAATTTGTCAGAGCTACTAGGGCATCCTACCTAACCTGAGATTCTCTGTACAAGGAATATCCAATTCTAGTCAATGGGAAGGAATGGACACTTTTAGGACACTGTCTGACCTCTTTAGATGCCCAATTCATGAATCAATTTACCATTTTATCTTTTTTCTCAAAATGTTTATTTCTATTTATTTTCCAAGTAATGGTAGCAAATAATTCTAGTTTTGTAGGTTACTTATGTTGTATTATCATTTGTTTTATTATTATTTTATTATATTAGCTCTTGCAAACATTTTAAAAGTTTGCTTTTTTAGACTGTCCTTTTATGTCACAGAGCTCCATTTTTCTGTTCTTTGGATTAATATGATATTTAATAAAACTTGCACTATACTTGTAATAGTGAAATGTAAAATGGTTTCTGCAAACTGATTGTGTAATATCAGCATAAAACTTTTTGGAAGATTTCTTTTGTGTCAATAACCATGTTTTCTGAAATTTGTATGGATGTAATGTGAGGAGTATGAGTCTTGTGAATTAAGTTCCTTTTTTTTTTTTTTTTTAAATCTATACTTGCTGGCATAGTGCACCTGTGACTGATAAAACAGCTTGTGCAAGCCCATTGACCGCAGGGCCCCAGTTAACACGGCACTGCACAAAGTTCCTACCCTTACATTTTAATAAAGATGATAAAGGTAGGGAAAAGGTGTGTTTATAAGACCAGCATGATAACACCTTAATTTCTAACTTGATTTTATATTATTTTTGCATTTTGACTGTATAAATCCTTAATATGTTTATTTATGGCTGTTATATGTTATCCTGCATTAAGTTCCAAACTAGCAAATATCCAGGAGGAGGAGGAGAAGGAGGTTGTTTGCTTTGCCTTGGCAACTGCACTCCACGTCAGATAGACGCTCTGAGAGAAAAGGAGGGATTCTTCCTTCCTTGGGAGCAACAAAACAAACTTTCTCTTTGGGAGGGCAGGTCATGGAGGGAGGCAGCCTCTGAGGTGAGGGGACAACCCTACTCAAAAGGTCAAAAAGTAAATGTGCGACCAGACCAGAGGTGACAGAAACCCATTTTCATCCTTTGCATTGCCTGAGCGCTCTGGCTTTTCCTTATGTCAGAAAGCTTTCTGTTGTGGTTTACGTTGTGAGAAAAAACAGCTCTACCCTTCCAAAGCATTTCTGAGTCCTGGGGATACTTACATTGAGGGAGAATCTCAGGCAGACCTGTGTTCTCAAACCACTAGCTGGTCTGACATGGGTAAAACCCATCTTACTTGTGACAAATCAGCAAGTGTCTTTATTATAGCTCTTAATGTTCCTGCAAAATCTACTCTTTTCTGAGACATCACCCACAAACTGAAGAAAAATGAGTCCTAAAAACTTAAAATTAGATTGGGTCAAAGTCTTGAAATAACAGAATATTATTATAGAAGTTCCTACAATTCCTCAAATGAATGAAATCACTTGTGGGCATCCACAGCACTGGAAAAAAATGCACTTTGCAATAAAATTGTTGATACCTTATTAAAATACTTATGGTTTGTTTAATAATGCTGCAAATGTATTTCTCTGCAATTAGCTTGTCTGTTGTGTAATTAGTGTATTGCTGTGGTAATTGCTTCCTCGCTTGAGTCCTTTTTTCCTGACATCTGATCATAAGGTCTTCATGCAGATGCTTCTCACCAATGTTTGCTTTGATTCCTGGCTTTTTCTCCAAGGCTATACTTATAAAATCTTAATCCTCAGGTGACAGCTGTAGAAAAGTGACCAGAGACTAGACTGCAAAGTAACTTTGTGAACTTAGGCAGACATATTTTCAGGTCCTCAGTAGCCACGCCCTGTTTCTCTCATGTAACATGGCTGTGGAACTGGACAAAACCAGGCTTCATTCTTGAGAAGACGACTAAGCTAAATCTTCTCCTTTCAGGAGGCGGAAGATCTCATTTCCAAAGCTGACTTCATACCTCAGTTGTATGAAGTGTCACAGAGCTCCATTTTGCTGTTCTTTGGATTAATATGATATTTAGTAAAACTTGCACTATACTTGTAATGGTGAAATATAAAATGGTTTCTGCAAACTGATTGTGTAATATCAGCATAAAACTCCTATTTTGGAAGATTTCTTTTGTGTCAATAACCATGTTTTCTGAAATTTGTATGGATGTAATGTGAGGAGTATGAGTCTTGTGAATTAAGTTCCTTTTTTTTTTTTTTTAAATCTATACTTGATGGCATAGTGCACCTGTGACTGATAAAACAGCTTGTGCAAGCCCATTGACCGCAGGGCTCCAGTTAACATGACACTGCACAAAGTTCCTACCCTTACATTTTAATAAAGATGATAAAGGTAGGGAAAAGGTGTGTTTTATATGACCAGCATGATAACACCTTAATGTCTAACTTGATTTTATATTATTTTAGCATTTTGACTGTATAAATCCTTAATATGTATATTTATGGCTGTTATATGTTATCCTGCATTAAGTTCCAAACTAGAAAATATCCAGGAGGAGGAGGAGAAGGAGGTTGTTTGCTTTGCCTTGGCAACTGCACTCCACGTCAGATAGACGCTCTGAGAGAAAAGGAGGGATTCTTCCTTCCTTGGGAGCAACAAAACAAACTTTCTCTTTGGGAGGGCAGGTCATGGAGGGAGGCAGCCTCTGAGGTGAGGGGACAACCCTACTCAAAAGGTCAAAAAGTAAATGTGCGACCAGACCAGAGGTGACAGAAACCCATTTTCATCCTTTGCATTGCCTGAGCGCTCTGGCTTTTCCTTATGTCAGAAAGCTTTCTGTTGTGGTTTACGTTGTGAGAAAAAACAGCTCTACCCTTCCAAAGCATTTCTGAGTCCTGGGGATACTTACATTGAGGGAGAATCTCAGGCAGACCTGTGTTCTCAAACCACTAGCTGGTCTGACATGGGTAAAACCCATCTTACTTGTGACAAATCAGCAAGTGTCTTTATTATAGCTCTTAATGTTCCTGCAAAATCTACTCTTTTCTGAGACATCACCCACAAACTGAAGAAAAATGAGTCCTAAAAACTTAAAATTAGATTGGGTCAAAGTCTTGAAATAACAGAATATTATTATAGAAGTTCCTACAATTCCTCAAATGAATGAAATCACTTGTGGGCATCCACAGCACTGGAAAAAAATGCACTTTGCAATAAAATTGTTGATACCTTATTAAAATACTTATGGTTTGTTTAATAATGCTGCAAATGTATTTCTCTGCAATTAGCTTGTCTGTTGTGTAATTAGTGTATTGCTGTGGTAATTGCTTCCTCGCTTGAGTCCTTTTTTCCTGACATCTGATCATAAGGTCTTCATGCAGATGCTTCTCACCAATGTTTGCTTTGATTCCTGGCTTTTTCTCCAAGGCTATACTTATAAAATCTTAATCCTCAGGTGACAGCTGTAGAAAAGTGACCAGAGACTAGACTGCAAAGTAACTTTGTGAACTTAGGCAGACATATTTTCAGGTCCTCAGTAGCCACGCCCTGTTTCTCTCATGTAACATGGCTGTGGAACTGGACAAAACCAGGCTTCATTCTTGAGAAGACGACTAAGCTAAATCTTCTCCTTTCAGGAGGCGGAAGATCTCATTTCCAAAGCTGACTTCATACCTCAGTTGTATGAAGTCAGACAGTCAACTCTAGGAGTGAATTTTACTTAGGAAAATATGGTGCTTCTTACTGAAAATGAACCACTTGAATGTTGTATCTATTTACAGCTAAGATTAGGCTTTCTGTTGATATGGGTTGTTTCTGTGTCTGTCTCTATTTGGCTGGATGATCTTTAGATTTCAGCCTTCTCAGAAATAAAATATGTACTATCTCTGATGGACTAATTAAACTCTTTCCATGAACTGCAGTCATTGAGTGATGTCTTAAATGTTTACAGGCACATGTCAGTGTGGCAGGTGTAAATGTGCAAACTCAGAAGGAAACGGACTGGTCTATGGTAAATTTTGCGAATGTGATGACAGAGAATGCATAGATGATGAGACAGAAGAGGTTTGTACAGGTATGTTTTTAGTGAGTACAAGAAGAATGGTCCAGATTAATACAGGCTTCTATAAAATAATATAATTGTGTGGACCTACAAAATGTCTTTATTGAATGTATGACTTAAAAGTAACTATATTTGTAAGAATTTAGCTTGAAAATTGTAAGTGGGAATTTCAGATGCAAAAATGAGCTAAGTTAAAGAATGAAGAAATCCTGTGACATCCTCCTCTTTTTGGAAGAACCAAAGAAAGGATTATACAAGGTAATTCACTATGGTAATTCATAGCTTAGTGTGTCTGTCTTCAGTAGAATATAAGAAATGAGAATGCTTTGTGGCACAGATGGGGACAAGATGGAGGACATAGGAAAAAAAAAACAAAAGAAAAAAGAAAAATAGATTATTAAGAATTTTGTCAAGGAAGCAAAAATTAAAAAGAACAAGAATAAATGTAGGATCACAGAATCGCATGGGTTGGAAGGGACCTCCAGAGATCATCTAGTCCAACCCCCTGCTAATGCAGGTTCTCCTAGAGCATGTTACACAGGACTTCATCCAGGTGGGCTTTGAATATCTCCAGAGAAGGAGACTCCACAACCCCTCTGGCAGCCTGTTCCAGTGCTCTGTCACCCTCAAAGGAAAGAAGTTTTTCCTCATATTTAACTGAAACCTCTTATGTTTCAGTTTGTACCCATTGCCCCTTGTCCTGTCGCTGAGCACCACTGCAAAGAGTCTGGCT